CTAAATAGGTCCACAAGGACAAAAAAAACTTCGACTAGTCCCAGAAAATCATAGCCCAGGTCAATACGCATCCAATTTCAATAGAGATAGAAAGGAATGCGAGCCCAGGCTGAATCATCTAATGTGCTTTCGGCAAAACACAATAGAATAGAAAGCCACCCACTGCATTCCTTCTTCCATGCCACAAGCCCAGCGATCAGCACAAAGGCTACGTGGATATCCATTCCAAAAAACAACCAGGCTGTCATATACACCCCATATCACGGGGACAGGGAGGGCGTGGCCCTATACTTCTTTTGAACATTACGTAAGATTTTGGTTTTTCGGGGAATATTTCGATTTAGGACAACTGTGAGCATGATCAAAGGCATGATTACGATTGTCACAAAACGGCAATATCCCATCGAAAGCACAATCGCTGCCACGTCCAAATGAAGTACGGAGCCACGCCCACTCAACCTACGGGGTATGGAATGTCTTTCTTTCAATATAACAGAAGACGATTATGATATAGCTGTTCATTCTGCGAAGTTTCGACCAAATGGTCGTTTCCAGAGGCTAGTAATAGCTTAGCTTATGGTTGCAACCTGCCCCTCCAAGCGCCCTTCGTTCTAGATTTAGTGGCGACACTTTGCAGATAGTTTAGAAAAAAAAGCTAAAAACACGCATGTACAACTGCGCCAAAGTGAACGTAGACTAAACCTAGAGAGCCAGCCCAACTATAAAATCGGGCCTACGGACTCCTGCGCTACACCCAAAGTGGGAACTCTCGAGGTGATTCTATTCAGCTTACCCCTTGAAAACATTCCGTGCGAAAGCAGACTGTTTCGAAAGAGCTTCTGCATGAACGCCGCTTCACAAGAATAAATTAGAGAGCCTGTTTCCGCCTGAATCAGAAAATGCCTTCAGTCAAGGCCGTCTCCGTCGAAATCAGAAAAAGCTCTTAGCCAAGGCAGTCCAGGCATTTCCCACGACATTCTGCCCACTACTCCTAAATCCCATCAAGTTTCTTAAGAAAACGCCCCATCAGAAGACTTCCCGAGTGAAAACAAGTATGTGCCACAGAAATGCAAATTCAAATAAAAATAGAGACAGGATGTTAAACTGCAAAGCCTCTTGGAGAGGCAGGCATTCAGAACGATGAGCAGAGGAGAGGCTGTAGGCTTATCGATGAGCTGCGCCGAGGAAGAGGTGCTCCGGCTGCGGTTCCTCGTAAGGCGACTCTTCTCTTTCAATGAACAGAACCTAATTTGTGACCAGAAAACAAGTTCAAAACACGAATTCCTCCTAGAAACCGCCAGATTAGTTCTTAGTAAAATGGAAAGCCTCTGAGATGCATAAAACTACTGCTAAAGAATCTGTGAAACGTCGAAAATCGGAAATCGAAACTGCCTCAGTTTCATGGAGATTGCCGAGGATATTTTTCATAGAATAGGTCATGGATTACTCAGGCACAGGCCTTGTTATTGCAAGGAGTAGATGGAATATAGCTGGCAGGAATAATGCGGAGAGCGGAAACCGGAAATCGGAAGTTGTTTTGCCGTATACCACCCATATGTAGCGGGCCCAATGCAAGGAATATCCATCGATGCATGAAGAAGAATCCTTGCTAGCAAGTAAACAGTTCGTCTCAGAAAAGTGCAGCCCTCTAGATGAATCAAACTTCAGTCAAATTATAAATTTTGCTTTCGAATTAAAAAATCCCAGCTTGCTCAGCTCAGCAGGCAAGCGGTATGTAGCAGTATCCAGCCGTGGTCGTCACTGCAGGCGCTACGGCCTGTAAGGAGGGCTCGAACTGCCGCGGCGCCAACTAAGTGGTAGAGAATGGGCTGGCGCCGCGCCAAACAGAGCCCCTGACACCCCAGGTGTCTGCAGAGAACACTGTACATGCCTGCCACTCACTAGGCCGTGATATCCAAACGATTTGGGGTCGTTGAAATTAAAATTCTGGTTGGTCCAGTCAGAATGCGCCATGCCTCTAGTTTGCGTCTGGTCTTTTGAGCGTTGGAATGGGTCTAGAAGTCAGATAAGCCATGAGACAGGTTTCAGGTGAAAGCCTTAAGACAGATTTCAAGTAAAATCAGTTTTGGGCCAAAAAGCTAGTAGAATTTAGCTCTCAAATTAGTTGTTAAAGAAAAAGATAATTATGATAAGATGAGGATCATAAATTCTATCTGAAAAGTCGCTCACCTGGCCTGTACTGTCCAGGTTGAATATAAGGAGGCGGCGCCGGCGCTCCATAGCCCGAACCGTATTGGCTTGGTGGCTGATATCCCTGTTGCGGTGGATAACCTCCTGGTTGTGGAGCATATCCCATGCCACCTTGTGGTGGGTATGGCTGAGCTGACTGATCTGGATATCCGGTGTTGAATCCAATTGGTGGTGATGGACCTCGATTGGGTGCATAACCGGCTGGTTGTGGCATTCCTGGAGGTCCACCTTGAGGATAGCCTGATTGCGGAGGATATCCTCCTGACTGAGGTGGATATCCTCCCGGTGGAGGATATCCTCCTGACTGAGGTGGATATCCTCCCGGTGGAGGATATCCACCTTGCTGTGGTGGGTATCCTCCTTGTGGCGGATCATTGGGATAGCCGCCTGGATGTTGGTATCCACCTCCTTGTTGCGGATAACCTCCTTGTTGATCGTAAGCGTTATAGCCAGCGTTTCCTGGTCCAGTTGGTGGAGTGTAGCCGCCACTCTGATTACCGTAATGTCCTTGATTCATGGTGGACCCGTGGTCTTGTGGTTGTTGCTGTTGCTGCTGACCGCGATTGCCTTGGAGCAATTTATTTTCCTGAAAACGGAAACAAATCAGGAAACAGCTGAAAAACTATGAATAGGGAATTTTTTATGGATTGATGGAATCGAATCTAGTCTGTCTTGGGTAAAAGCTAAAAAGCTATAAAAAATTTAATAAGTATCCTCAACGTGCCGGACCTTCAAAGGGGCCTAATGTTTGCGAAAAACTGACTTCAGGGTTTCCGCGAAGT